ATCTATCTATCTATCTATCTATCTATCTATCTATCTATCTATCTATCTATCATCTATCTATCTCTTATCTATCTGTATCTATATATCTATCACCTATTATTACGAGACAGAATCTTGCTAAGTAGCCTGGGCTGGCCTGTGTAGCCCAGGCAGACCTTGGAAGTTTTGATAATCCTGAACAGCTGGAATTACAGACCTCTACCATCAGGCCAAGTCTTAACGTCGTCTTTGCTAAGACTAGGAAGCCAAGGTTCAGGAAGGTGATTCCTGGCCTGGGGTGCATGTGGGATTCAAGAGGCAGGAGAGGGCCCAGAGATGGCTAGGATGGGAAATGGGCCAAGGGCTTGGCTGGAGCATGAGCAGCAGCTTCCAAGCATCTCAGTGAGACCTTGCTTCCTCTCTGCTGAAGGACACCTGGTGACTCACTCCTTCCTAACTCAGCTCTCCCTGGAGCCCTGGGGGCCTTACTCAGATGGTGTCTCCAAACCTTCTCTAGGGCTGCTCTCTCTGGGGCTGTTGTCCCTGGGCCTCTGCACATGTCATTCCAGCTCTTGGACAGCAGCTGTCTGTCTTCCTCTCCGTGATCCCTGCTGTCACAGATTCACCACAAACCTCATTTCATCCTAAGTCTTCTGTGACTGTGCCCAGCATTGGCACTAAGGACAAACCTGAGTTCCGCCAGTGGGTTCAACCTCACAAACAGGACTGCCCGGATGCTCAGGGCAGTGTTCTCAGAGCGGCCATTCCCACCCTGTTAGAAAACGGTTTGAGTCAGGACTTGGTAGCTCACACTTGAAACCCTAGCACCGGGGAGGTGGAAGCAGGAGGGTCAGGAGTTCAAGGTCATCCTCACTTGCATAACCCAGTTGAGGTTAGACTAGGCTATATGAGATCTTGTCTTAAATAAATAAAAAAAAAAATAAAGAAACTAAAGCAAAAAGAAGAGGAAGAAGGAGAACACATAAAACAAAAGCAAGATAATGGTTTGAAATGGGAAAATTCAGCTGGGTGGTGGTGGTGGTGGTGGTGGTGGTGGTGGTGGTGGTGGTGGCACATGCCTTTAATCCCAGCACCAGGGAGGCAGAGGCAGGCGGATCTCTGTGAGTTCAAAAAAAAAAAAAAAGAAAGAAAAAGAAAAAAAAAAGAAAAAAAAGAAAAGAAAAGAAAAGAAAAGAAATGGGAAAATTCGGTTTGTGCAATGGTCATTGTTAGACCAGTTACAAAGGCCTCATAAGTTCATCATTAGTCATCATTATTATTTTTAACAAGTTGAATGTACCTCTTTCCATTTTTTTTAATGGGAGGAGAACTGGAGTGGAGAGAATTTAAATATCACCAATGCTTCCTTCTTTGGGAAACCTCCCTGTCCACCTTTATTCCCTCTGGCTTCTCGGTGGTCCAACTTCTGCCCACACCTATGTCCATGCCTTGCCTGCACGGGTGGCATCTAGCTGTAAAATTCCTGATAGGAGGAAAGACCAAAGTATCCACTGGGCACCAGTGGCAAGCCACTGGACATGAGGGGGAGAGTTCTTCTCACCCAGCTCCTGGCTCATCTGGTTTTGGGGCTCCCATCTGCCTGGGGCAGGCCGCAGACTCCCACCCCCTCCTCCATCCAGTCCTTGCTACCTTGCAAGGCAGCTATTATTACCTGCACTTTACAGAATAGATAGTGACTCAGTGATGTGTTACAGAACTAGAAAGTGACAGAGCTGGGATTGGAGCCCAGAACCTTGGAGGGCAGAGCCTGAATTCTTTCCATCACTCATGGCATTCCTCAGCCTCAGCACTGTTGCCATTTGGGGAAGGGGGAAGGTTTGCTCTGTGGGGGCAGGGTTGCTGTACATATTACAGCTCTGAAGGGAAAGAATCCCCCAAGTCAAGTGGTGTAGCTCCAAAGGGAAAGGTATCCTGGCAGTCGGGAGCCAAGGGATACCACAAGGTCACACCACACAACAAACCTTACACAAGAGATTTATTTGGAGAGCTACAAGAGGGAGGGTGGATGCCTCTGCTCTGGATAGAAGCAGCAAAAAGCTGAGCAGAAGGCAGGGTATATGTAGGGTTTCTTGGGTGGAGGTGCTGGGGAGCTTTCCCGGGTGGCCTGGGATTGGTGGGATTCTGTGGCCCCATCTTGGGGCAAGCTCAAGAGTTGGTGGGATTTTGAGCTCAATGATTGGTGGGATGCTGTGGCCTGATTTTGGGCTTGTTCTCTCTCTCTCTCTCTCTCTCTCTCTCTCTCTCTCTCTCTCTCTCTCTCTCTCTCTCTGGAGGAGCTTGGCCACCTCCATATTTACTATGCATTTTTGCATGTTTAATGGCGTCTCTGTCTTGGTCCATGAGAGGCCCATAGACTCCTATCTCCTGCTTATGTCTATGGTTACCCAACACATCTTGGGACATTGGCAAATGTCTTCCAGGGGATAAAATCATCCTGGACTGGTGAGCATGGCAGCACAGCTAAGAACCTCAGGCTGGTTGTCTGTCTCTTCTGGGTCTTTTCTAGGTCCTGCTCCGCATAGGCACTGGATGGCAATCCATGGACTCTCAAGTCTCCCTTCCTATGTTTGCAGTAGCTCCAGGCTGACCATGGTCACGTAAGAGGAGCTGAGGAGGGTCTGGGTCCCAGCTCTCCTGGCTGAAGCATCCTGTGGCCCTGGCTCCATACATTTGAGACTTGTTTATCCCTCCACCATGCCGAGAAGAGTTTAGGGGACTCACATATGGAGGGAGTCCTTTGCTGCTGGGACACAGCCATGCTACTCAGTTAGAACAGTGCCCCTCTTCTTCAGGGCCATCTCCAGCATGTGGGCTGGATTTTGGTCCCCACGAGCCATCCCAGATATTCTAGCAGTAATAGAGTTCTCAATTGAGGTGGGTAAGGCCAAAAGCACTGGGCCACACCTTAAGCAAACAAAGAGCTCTGACATGCGCAGCAGCATCCTGACCCAGAGGACCCTGAAACCGGACCCTCAAGATGACCGCTGCTGACATATGACCCAGAGCCAACCAGGAAACACCACGGCAGCTGGAAGCAGAGCCCGCCAAAAAGTACACACATAAATACCTCAGTGCTTTGTTTAATAAACGAGATTGCTTGCAGTCTACCAGAGCCTGTGCCATTGGTTCTGTGTCTATTCACCCCCTGCCCCCAGGATCAGAGAGAGTGGGACCCCAGCTGCAGAGCCAGCAACACTCAATCTGCATACTCATTCACAGCAGACCTGTTTTAGAATATTTTATTGATGGTCCTCCTCTACCTCCTCACTACAGGGAAGTGCCTATATAATGGAAACCCATTGACAAAGGCCAAGCCTTATTTTAGACCTAAGACTCCACTGTTCCCCCCTCACCCACATTGGCTGTGGACTGGCTCATTTATTCACTGAGCAAACGTATTCAATATCTATTTTGTGCAAGTGGAGTTTTTTAGAACTTGAGTTTGGACACTTAGAAATGAGGTGATATGATGTAGTAGAGGGATTCTCAAAACCTGGCTCGAGAACCCTGGTAGAGCCCAGGATTTTCTTCTACTTTATTCCAAACTGCACACTGCCACACAATGAATACAGAAGCAGACAGTAAAATCCAGCTGGTTACCCTTAAGGCCAAACAGCAGAAAATTTGCAAAAGATAAAATAGTCTTGGCTTCATTTTAAAAATAGTTGTTTTTTTTCAGGAATAGACATTATTTTTGTGCATGTGTGTTGTGTAATATTCCATTCTTCAGGGAAGCTCCTTAAGCAGGAAAGTAAATAACTCAAAATAGCTTCAGGAAGTCCCTGAAACCCACCAGATTCACTAGGCCCCTCCCTCCTAGAGAAACCAAGCCAAGCTGCTGAGAGTCACTCTCAGACAAGCTACGTTACAAGGAAGGCTTTTGAGACTAGACCAACTTTCTGCCTGGAAGAAGCAGAAACCAGCCGAGCTGTCTGGAGGAGGTTTAGACTAGCTGAGTCACCTGGAAGAGACACTCGCCAACCTGTTGAGCTGCCTGCAGGCTGTGCAGTGTGGTCCAGGTTCCCAGCTTTTGTGGACTGTTTCCCATGCTAGGGTGGGCTTTGGTGATGCAGATGCCTGAGTCATTTCTGCTCCTGCAAATAACCACTCACCCATACTCCTTTCATAATCCCAATAAAACTCACTGGTTCACCAAGTTGGTCTTTGGTGGTATCTGTATTTTGATCTGTCGTGGGTTCCCTACCTCAGATGAGTAGATGTGCAAGTCTCTCCAGGAAAAGGCTTGTCACACACCAATGGTCAGTGAGCTTGCTCTCCTTACGAGGGAATTAATAAGGTTAAAATTTCTTAGCTGGACCCAGCTACACGAGCCTAAGGATGCAGAGGCAGGAGGATTCCTGACAGTTCAAGGCCAAGCTGGACTACACAGAGAGCTCAGCCTGCCAGGACTCTGGCTATAAACAAAAACAAAACTGGCCTGGGATGATAGCCCAGTTGGTAAGCATTGGTCTTACAAGCGTGAGGGCCTGAGTATGGTGGTATGTGCTTAGAACTCCAGTGCTGAGGAGGCAGAAAAGGGCTCCCTAGCTCACTGGCCAATCGGCCTTGCCTTGTTGGCAATTTATAAGCCAATGAGAGACCTTTTCTCAAAAGCAAGGTGGAAACATTGTGAGGTTCTTTTCTGACCTGCACATAAACCTGTACGTGCACTTGCCTGCACATGCACACTACACACACACACACACACACACACACACACACACACACACACACTATGGGATTTCTTGTTTTTATTTCAGAGAGAGTTAATACTAATAGAGATAACCCAGTGGAGAGAGTTCTTCAGAGACTTACACAATACTTGAAATAAACAAACCCAAGTCTGGAAACATGCCCACGTGGTGGGCTAACCCCTGGGCGAGGAAGACTACTAGCTTGGGCTCTCCTGCCGCAGGTTGGTGGTGAATCTTGGGTAAGTTCCCAACTCATCAACGTCTCAGTTCTCACACCTGTACAGTGGGAGCCTCGTGGCCCCTGTAAGGTGGCCGTGGTAGGTCACCTCACCAGTGGGACTTTTGCTCTGCTGGGAGGTTATGGACTCTGTGGGGAGCTGGGCTGTTTCAGGGGGTCCCACAGAGCGATCCCAGCTGTAGGGAATGGGGCTCAGCGTGTGTCATCCGCCTCCCCCGCAAGGTAAATATGTAAGGATTGGGAAAGTTGGGCAAAGGAAAGGAATTCAGTTTGTGAAATCGCTTCAAAGGGGGGACTGGAGGCAGGGCTTTCTTTGCTTCTGTGTTGATTGTGAGCGCTTTTGAGTTTTGTGGAGCGCTGTTTCCTGACACTTCTCCCCATAATGGACACAGAAGCAACTGGCTTGTTCTTCCTTGGGGTCCACTTGGGAGATGATGGCCACTTTTTTGGGAGGTACGTAGCCTTAGAAGTCCCTACCGAGAACACAATCTCTCTGTTTGACTGGTGATTGAGGCACAACCCCTGTCCACTCGCGAACTTATTATTTTCCAACATTACATACTCCAGTAACTTGTGTTGCTGTTAAGTAGCTGCTATCAAAGAACTTCCGGTCTGTGGCGAAGGTGGGAACTTTGTCACCGTACTGTCCCTGGTCCCCAGATGCCCTTTTCAGCAATCCCTCCTGGTACTTGTATTTTACCTGAGAGATGCCCTGCCTGGCTTTGGCCAAAAGCTGTTGACCAGGTTTCTACCAAAGTGAAAGAATTTAACAGCTAGCTCCCAGCTGGTGACACATCCCACCGAAGGAGGGCTTGGGGACCATGGGACACAGGATGGTGTTCCTAGCCAGCCTCTGTCTCTTTGCTTTTCCATCTCCTCAGGGCTTCTGGGACCGTGCCAAGGATTCAGACAGTGCTGGGCCTGTGGTGGGGTGAGATGTTTCAGTTTCAGCAGGAGCAAGTTATGACATTCCTTCCATCCCTCGGTTCCACAACTGGCTTTTGCTTCATCTGTCCCAGTTTGGGGACCAAGTCTTATGTAACTGCAGATCCCTGGACTTGCCTTGGCTAAATACTGAGAGATGCCACATTGGACATTTACATTATCTTTAGGAGTGTGGAATGGCTGAGGTCACACTACATAGCCCAGGATGGCCTCCAGCTCAAGATTCTCCCACCTCAGCCTCCAATGCCATACTTCCAGGAAAGTAAAGTGCATCTAGTTACTATTTTTTTTTTAATTTTTTTGCAGACAAAAAATAATAAATGGAGATGAAAGAGCAAAGTGGTGGAGGCTAGGAATACCATCCTGTGTCCCATAGTCCCCAAGGCTTTTTTCAGTGGGATGTATCACTGGCTGGAAGTCAAGTACATGCTCTACCTGTGCACAGTTCCTCCAGCTTCTCTTATGAAGTTTTGGCTGTTTAGTTTAGGGCTGTAGTTGGTGTTTGGGACAAACATGCCCTTTCCCACACCTGTCCAAATTGTTTCTTTTTTCTCACTGTGATAAAACACCATGACAAAAAAAAAGCAACTTAAAAAAGGGTTTATTTCCTCTTATACATCTAGGTTTGCAGCCTATCTTTCTGGGGAAGTCAAACTCGAACTGCTATCTATAATCCAGAACAGAGAGAGAATGAATGAATGAATGTGTGCTTGCTTACTTGCATGCATGGTTGCTTGCATGGTTGCTTGCTTTTATACTTGCTTGCATGCATGCTTGCTTGCTTGTTTATGCTCAGCTCAGTTTCTCCACTCTCATACAGCTCAGGATCACGTGCCTAAGGAATGCTGCCCCCCTCAGTGGTCTGAGTCTTCCCATAGCAATTAACTTAATTAAGACAGTCTCCCACATACATGCCCACTGGTCAACCTAATGCATACAATGCCTCACTGAGCCTCTTTCTAGGTGATTCTAGATTTATAACAAACATCTTACCCCAGGACTCTGGGAACACGCCACCTCAGGTGGCCAAAAAGACATATGTAGTTAAGGGTGTTGAGATGGTTGTTGACTCCAGATCATTAGGGTGGCCCTGACTAATCACAGTGGCTTTATTTTTTTAATTATTATTATTATTATTATTGGTTTTTCGAGACAGGGTTTCTCTGTGTAGCTTTGCTCCTTTCCTGGAGCTCACTCGGTAGCCCAGGCTGGCCTCGAACTCATAGAGATCCGCCTGGCTCTGCCTCCCGAGTGCTGGGATTAAAGGCGTGCGCCACCAACGCCCGGCCACAGTGGCTTTAGAAGAAAGAGGAGAGACAGAGTCAGAGCAGGATCATGGTGGAGGCAGACTTATGGTTTGAGTGGAGGATGGAAGAGTGGCCATAATTCACACCATACTGACTCTGAAAGCAGAGAGAGCTGCCAGGAAGAGATAACACACTGTCTACATTGCGATTTTTAGTCCAGTGGAATCCAGTTTCAGACTGTGTTCTTCAAAACGGCAATGTAATAAAGTTGGCTTGTTTGAAGCTTGCTGTGTTTGTGGAAGTTTGTCACAGAAGCAATAGAAAAATGAGTCCAGCTGACTGGGTCTGGGGCCAAGCTGAGCCCAGCAAGCAGCAGGTGGCCAGCTACCTGGAAGTCTGTGAGGTCTAGTGGGTGTGCCTGGCTACAGGCCCTCCCTCTCGAATCTCACAGTCTCACAGTGGACCTGAGATGTCCCTCGAAAGACCTGTAGTGGACTTGACATCTTCCTGTTGTGGTTGGATGGGTGGTAGCACACCGATGAAGCTCAGGTCCAGTACAGAGGAGGGTAATGCAGCCTCTGGTCCAGGGTGTCCAATGGAAGTAGCACTTGCATTGATCTCCAAGGGAAGGACAAGGTGCCCAGAAGGAAAGATGCAGAAGGTTAGAAGCCAGAATGAGTCAGAGCCTGGGAAGGGGTTGGGTTTGGAGCAAAGATTGGACCAGGATGTCACTTTGGTTATGACCTGGTTCTCTGCAGGAAGACATCCTGAGACCTGGTGCCTCCAGCTTGGTCAACATGGGCACTTAGAAATCAGTCCAGCAATACAACCTATTCTCTCTTTTCCATCACTTCATTCTCCATACCGTGCCTGCCTGGGCCATGTCCCTCGAGGAAGACAGGGCTGCTGCTGCTGAGCAGAGTCATCTGCGGGTGTGACAGTGTAGCAGAGGACAAGGGACTGCGTCTCACAGCGAAGAAATACTGCTCGGAAGGTCTCTTCCCTGTGTGTGTGTTTTCAGGGCCAGTGTTGGTTTCTTGCTCACTGCCAAGGAGAGTGGGCCAGGAAAACATGTGTTTGGAGGACCACAGAATGCCAGATGGAACTAGGCCTCCTCAGGGGGACTGAGACATGTACTTAGCATCAGCAATCAAAAGCATGTGTCACAGCAGATGTGGAATGGGTGGGGCAGGAGGATGGAGGTGGGATCATACATCAAGACCGTGTAAGTTAATTTTGGCAGGGATTGGGGAGCCAAGGACGATTTGGGGGGAAGAGTGTAACCCAAGCCGTGTGTAACTTTACAAAAGTCTCCCCCACATCAGTGTGGAGTGGAGAGGCGAGTCCTCGGAGGCTGAGAAACCGTTTAGGGGTGAATGCAGTTCTTCAAGTGAGAGGGTGGTGGGACCAGGAAAGAGAGGGCTGAGGGGAGCGAGGCCCGGGAGGGGGAGGGGTGAAAAGCAAGTGCTGATTCCTTCTCTCCCCACTGTCTGACTCACTCTGTTAGCTCTCATCTGTCCACTCTCCGGGTTCACAGCCCGCTTCCTCCTTTGTGACCCTAGTCTTCCATCAAGCTCACTGCACTGGTGTCTACACCACTCTGCCAGATCCCACAAAGCTCTTCAGTGGTCCGGGGTAGGCGCGCATGGGTAGTGGTGGTACCTCATTCTGGTATCGTTTTTTTTTTTTTTTTTCTTTTAAATCAGACCATTCCTCCTCTGTACATGGTTGTGTGGTCAGCAGCCCTCCTGGTCTCCCTCACTAGTGTCAACAGCAATCTGACCCCCATGCTATGTGAGAAAGTCATCCTAGCCAGGGGCCCCGCTTCCAGCCCTCCTTTTCAGAGCTGCCCAGTGCTCCTGAAAGGGGAAGTCTGGTAAAGCTCCCAGTGGCTGCCCATCGTAAGCATCTCCAGAGATTCCCATCATGTCCCTCCGTTTCTCCAGACCCTCTGATTGTCTAACAGCTTCCTCCCATTACCACACCCTACATCTATTTTGGATGTTGCTCTCAGCTTGTGGACGCTAAACATCTTTAATCTGGAGCCGAGTTCAACAGAGTGATGGGGGAACCGATGATGGTAGGAAAGTCTGTCTTACCTAAAATGTCTCTTGGAGCCCACGTAGTAGAAACTCCAGGTTTGACTGGGTTCACATGCTTGTTGTGTGGACTCTCAGCAGGGTGTCTCCGGGGCAACTGACTTTACCTCTGGACCATATTTTTAAACCAGAAGTAAAATGAGTGCACACTCAGCCACCTAGGCAGTTTATAAAGTGTGAGCATTCGGCAGGTCAGGCGTTGGCTTCGTAACGATGCCGACACCTAGTTCATGTCCCACAGGTGAACAGCAGAAGCTGTGACTAGCATTAACTCTCACTCGAAGGAGTGCCCTCTGTGCCTGCCCTGGGCCAGACTCTTTCAGATCTCTCTGTGTGTTGGTGTCTGTGCCAGGGGTCTGGGAAGAGACTGCAATGACCATGGGCTCTTCCTCCTGGTCAGCTAAGATCTGTTCTGACCCTGCTAACCTCGTTACCTGGACCTAGTCCTTTCTCTCTCCCCTCACCCCCCAATCAGGTAGCTAGAGACACAAGGTAGGAGTGGTTTGAATTTTTTCACAATGACAGGTTCCTGAAAATCACCCCAAGCTCTGGGCTGGGGATAACTGGGTGCAGGCTGGGGGTGGGGTGGGGTAAACACAGAAAGGGGAAGGAACTCTTAGAAAGCAGAGAGCTGGAAGGTAAGGCTGAGGATCTGACAGCGGGGCCAGAAGGCGGGGCCTTGGAGGTACTGCAGGGATCTTCAGCGCTCCTGCTCTTCTGAAGACCGAGGCTGGCATGACCTCCCGTGGATGGGGCATGGCCTATCTTCTGGCAGGGCCTGGATCTCTTTGTTGTCCCTGTCCTGACTGTCTCGGCACCGACGTCAGTCCTTGTCTGGAGCTGTTTTATAGCTCAGTGTCTTCTTGGCTGCCAGACCCTATTGCTGGCTGCTTTTGAGTTAGCTTAGAGGGAAAAGGAGGAAGGAAGCAGGACTTCTCCTACAGAGACTCTTGCCCTGGAGGCCACACCATGCACTGTGGCTCAGAATATACCGCATGCTGTGGATCCTGCCACCTCCCCATAGCCATGGAATGACAGTATCCTGGCCGTGTGGCATCCTGTCTGTCCCTCCCACTGAAACTGCATTCTTAGGCTCCCTTTCCTGGAAGGAATAATTGAAAATTTTTGTTGAAAATATTAAAAAAAAAAAAACCAAAAAACCCCCAGCTTGTCAGAGGCACAGCATCATCAGAACAGACAGCTGTCGGTTACAGTTATGACTCCTTCCCAGATGTCCCTGACAGTCAGCCACTGCCTGTGATTTTTCTTCTTGCAAGACCCAAGTTCTATTTATGCCCCGATTGAGCATCTGCCGGTGAGCTCTAGATGGCTTTTATTACCTCCCCCGAGCCCTAGTTTGTGGATCTGTCAGCGGAGACAGAATGGCAAGACTCCGTTTTCATGGCTGACCGACAATCATAAGCTCCTGACACAGGTGACCGTGTGGTTTCGCCGGTCCTGTCCTCACCTAATTAACAAGAGCTCCTTTGTCTCGCAGGACTGTCCTGCTTCAGACAGCGCATCCCACAGTTGCCATGTCTTGGCTGTGTTGCTGAAGTCCCCTCCCCTTGGCCCAGTGGCACCCTGTACAGAAACGGCCACAACGGATTTGCTCTGGATGTTTGTCCCAGCTCTACCACTAAGCACACCGTGGCCTTGGGCAAGGCACTTCCTTGGACGTTTGTTTCCCCAGCTACACCACGTGATTAACGTCTTCCATTCACTAGGGACTGGGGCCACATCTTGTGCGTGCCTGCTTTTCCAGATCTAGCATTAGGAGGCCTTTAGCTAGTGGACACAGGACTCAAGCCACATCTGCTGTGACTGAAGGGGCCATTGCGGCCTCCACTTTACACTCACTGGCTCTTGTGCCTCCAAGTCCCTTAAGCAAGAACCAGCATGGAGCATGAATCGGTGGTCAGTGTTCCAGGCCCCAGCCACTCACCTGCCCCCTGTCCCCCGATCCCCCAGCTCCCAGCCACCCTACCTCTAGTGTGCCACGGACTGGCCCATCGAGGGTACCACAACCGTAGGGGGACCAGAGTGTGGCACTAATGGAAGAGGAGGTCCTCTGGCTTGATCTCAGTTTCCCCAAACTGTTTCCTGGATTCAACATAGTACCTGTGTCTTCAGCCCTAAGCTGATTGATTGGGCAAGATAGTCTCAGAACAGGATGCCAACTCTGGCAGGTTTCTGGCCTTGGGCACCAGATTGTGTTCATGAGACTCTAGGACCTTGGTTTGGATCTTGGCTCGGCCTCTCAAAAACTCTGTGACCTTAGGCCATCCACTTGACCTCTCTGAGCCAACATTCTCTCAAATGGACAGTAGAAGAATCTTGGGTTATTGGGAGATATTGTGGAAGAAGTATTTGAGGCATGTGCACAGTCCTGGGGGACTAAGTAGGTACTCAATAAGTAATGTTCTACCTTCTCTTGGCATTTGCCCTGGGCAGGGAAGTCAGGGACAGGCATCCCCTGGATGACCGTGGAAGCCTACTCACCGACACTACCACAGTTTCTGAACCCAAGGACTGATGGACTAGTTGGATACAACAATGACCGAGAGGAGATTCAACAAGCCACCTTTGTGGCCACGTCCCGAGCAGACTTGAGGTGGAGTTGCCGCTTGCGTTATTATAGTTCCTTTTCTTGTTGCTATGACAAAAATACTCTGCAAAACCAACTGAAAGAAGAGTCATTTTGGCTCACAGTTCTTGGCTATGGTGCCTCATGATGGGGAAGGCATGGTGGTAGGAGATGAGGCACCAGTCACATCATGTCTCTACGCAGGAAACACAAATTTTGAGATGAGTGCTGGTACCCAGATCCTAGTCAGGAAACAAAGAGAGATGCCTGCTGACACCCAGCTTGCTTTCTCCTTTTTATTCCATCTGAGGTCCTGACCCATTCAATGGTGTCACCCATGTTTAGGGTGGGTCTTTCCACCTTACTTAACCCACTCTAGAAACTTCCATATAGCCGTGCCCAGAAGACTGGCTGCTAAGTGATTTTAGAGCTTGTCGACCTGGCAATCAGCATTCACCATCACGGTCGTACTCTTCCTTTAGGGAGGAAGCAGAATGGTCCTAAGAGTGTGTTTACTGATGCCAATATTTACCTTCACCAACTTCTTCTTTACCCGACTCTGAAAATGGGTCTCACTGTTGCCTCGGCATGAGGAAGCTTCCATACAGGGCAGCCTTCCAAGGCCATCGGGCAGAAGTGACTGACGCTTCAACTCAAGTGTGTGACAGCACACAAAGCAGAGTCTCTGGCGGCCTTCCTCTCTGGGGCCACCAAGTGTAATGGTAGACCTTGGTTGCGAACCCTGTTGCATTAAGAGAGGGGTCGAGGGGGTTAGTCAAGGACATTTCTGGCCTTGTCTGTGATTAGTTCCCAGAGGCAATTAGATTGCGAAGGCTCTGACCCAATCAGTAGATTAGCCCCTTGGTAAATGATACTTGATGGCATTGTTGGAGAAGGTGAAAGGTAGTATGTTCCTGGGGAGCATTCTTATGGGCTGTACCTTGCCCTGTATCGTTCCTGTATCCTCTTGGCTTCCTTCCACTATGATGTGGTCTGCTCTGCCCTCCTCACCGTGATAGATAATTAATATAGCGATAGTTAATATTGTCAACCTGACAGGATCTAGAGTTGCCTAGCAAACAAACCACTGGGCGAGCCTGTGAGGGATTTTTCTAGAGGAGGTTAATTGAGGTGGGAAGATGCACTTGAAATGTGTGCAGCATGGTCCCCTGCTTCCTGACTGTAGACGTGATGTGTTTGAGCCTTACGCTCTTGCCACCGTGACGTCACCACTACAATAGACTGACCCTCCGCCTGTGAGCCCAGACAAGCCCTTCCTTCGGCTGGTTCTGCCAGGCGTTCGGTTGCAGCAGTGAGAAAACCAGCACGGTCTGGAACCATGAACAAACTAGATCTTTCCTGCTTCGCATTGCTCTCAGTCATGAAGAATATAACGACTCTCCCAGGGCTCTTGGCCATGGCCTTCATTTACATGCTCTCTCTCTCTCTCTGCCATAAAGGTGCTTATCTTTTGAGGCTGCCTCAGTTTCCTCTCTTCCCATGAGACTTGCCTCCCACCTACTTCTCAGGGATGCTTTGAAGACAGAGAAGAATGTGTTTTCCCAAAGCTCCCCAGAGGGTCCTCCTGGCCTCACCCAGTGCAGTGTATCATTAGCTAAGGCACAATGTCAGCAGCCTAATGACTGCTCTCTACCATCCTGTCGCCAAGGCCAGGCACAGGCATCATTAGCCCAGTTTTAGTGATGGGCCAGCTGAGGCTGAAGAGCATCATTTTGACCTGCCTACAGTGATGGGGTGAGTCAGTGGCAGCCCCACGAAACCTTTGTTAGTCTCCCTTGTCTGCTTCTTTCATGACAAGCCCAGGGTGAGAAAGAGGCACCAGGGCCTTCGGGATTTCTGGTCCTTCCTTGGAGCCAGGTGAGGATGCTTAACCCTGGCAATGCCTGGTCTGGTCCAGTCTTCTTCCTCCTCACTAGGCACTGGCCCCAGGTGTGTGGCTGGAACATTGTTCCACACTTTGTCCAGCTATTAATTTGTGGCTATGATGATGGTTAGGATGATGGCAGTGGTGGGGGTATAATGTGGACGTGTACACACGCACATGTACATGAGTACCCTGGTTCCTTGAGCTTAAGGAGAGGTTGATGCAGGGTGAAGCATAAAGGCACCAGTCACATTTTGTCAGTGTCTCTCTGTGCCACCAGAACCCCACTTGAGGCCTAGAGGGGGTCAGCAGCTTTCATCCGAGCTTTGGAGCTGGTGAGGTGCCAATGTGGTATTCCTACCTAGGTTCATCTGCAATTCAAGAATGCTGTCCTCCTGAAAGTGCCCGCCGGGTCTCTTAGGGAGACCTGGGGTCTACAATATAGGTCAGCTTCATAGTCATGTGATTTCCCTGGCTCTGCTGTGTCCACGTGGAAATCCACACTCCTTTGTGAACTAGGGGCTCTGTGTTTTCCTTTTTGCTTTTGGGCTGGACGCTGTGGATGATGCAGCTTATCCTGGACCCACCAACAAAACAGGATGCCTCTACAACGTGGAGAGCCTTAGTCTAGTTGTTCCCCTTAGTGTCCCTCTATCCAAAACCAGGAGTCTGGGTGGCAGACACAGACTCTGTAAGTTGTCCCACTGGAAGAGAATAGGCCACTCAGGCTCCATGAGGGCTTCTATGATTAGAGAAACCCCGATAAGAGACTGAACATGGGCTCACCTTGGATGACCTGGTGCCTTGTAGAGCTTTATGATATCTGAGAGATGCCAGCCACCCATAGAAAAGGGGCCTCAGGAGCCCTGTGAGTGCTGAGGTTGGTGGAGGCCCCCTCACTGCAGCTCTTAGTCACAGGAAGTCGCTGAGAAATGACTGACATGTAATCATGTCTCTTTGATGGTTACAACTCTGTGGGGGTGGCCAGCTTTTCCTTTTAAGCAAATACACTTGGATGGCTTTCAAGACTGTCACCAGGGCAGGTGAGGACTCACTCCTGCCAGGCTGCTGGGGGGATGGATATGCTTTTGGTGCCCCAGGGCACATTTGTGGCTGGCTCTGTATGTGGCACTGGGCGTGGGCAGATGGGTCCATGCAAGCTCAGATTCCCAGCCTCCTACCTCAGGCTGGGAATAGGGGCCACTCAGCTCTGTGCCAGTGAGGCCTGGAAACCACAGGTCCTGGAGAATGTGCTGGACACCCTGCTAATGAGCAGACTGCAGCAGCCCACACCAGTACTGCTTTTCCGTCTCCTCGCCTGCTTCCTCAGGCCAACTTAACAAACTCCCTGAACCCTAAACCCGGTCTCGTGTTCTGCTTTCTGGAGAAGAGAAGCCAAAACGGGGGTGGAATTGTTTGGAGCCTCTTCTGGACTGAACTCCGTGAGCCGAGGCTGGAATTTGGCATCTCTTCAAACACATACAAGCTTCCCTCTTCCAGTGTATCAAGGCTGGGGAGAACTGCATTGGTTGGGGAAGTGGTGCTTGGAAATTCGCACTCACCAAGCCTGGCGCTCTGAGTACCATTTGGGTCTCCTCGTTAGCGGTGCCATCTGGGGCAGCAGCTTGCCTTTCCTGCTTCCAGGGGCTTCAAATGTAAACCGCACGACAGAAGCACTCAGATCCCGGTTTGCTGTGCACATCGAGTATATTTGCGGAGTTATTTTGTAGCTGACAAATGTACATTCGGGACGTCATGACGGTTTGGAAACAAGATGGTGGCTGCTAGTGAGAGGGATGGAAGCCGGCGAACGGTGACGTCAGCTCCCCACAGCAGTCTGAATACGTTTTGGTCAGGAGCACTGTTCTTGGGATGGCACCCCCCCCCCCCCCGGCCCCAGGGGTTCCTGCCTGGGACAAGTTTCCTGGCTTGTTTTAGGGATACAGTTGGTAGAGAGAACTGACCGGGATTCTGTTCTTTGTGTCGGCGTTTATGAGCTGATCCCTGAAGAGACATGTGTAACCCTGGGGACTGACCGAGAGCTGGCGTCTGTCTAGCTTGGTGGGATGCAGCTGATGGGTGTGGCCCCTGCACAAGTCCTCCAAGCACCTGACAAGCACAGGTGAAGCAGGTGCTTTGCCTGGTCCTGTGTAGCATTAGTGCTGCCCTGCAGCCTGGGACCAAGTCCCATCCTCCGAGGGCTCCTCTTCTCATGGGATTGGCGTCTGGGGAGGGGCAAGGGCAGGGACTGAGGCAGGGGCAGGGGGAGGGACCAGGGCAGAGGTAAGGTAGGGGGTGTGGCAGGGGCAGGGGGAGGGGCTATGACAGGGGCTGGGGGAGGGTTGAGGGAGGGGCAGGGGCAGGGGCCAGGCACGGGAAGACAACAAAAGATGTAATGGACAGGCAGACGGCTCCAACAGGAAATACGAAGCCGAGCGAGAGAATGAGGGAGCATAGAAGGGCCACCGACGTAGAGAGTCAGAGAAGGACGCCGAGGGGCTGACATTAGAGCAGAGAGGGTCGTGCGACTCAGATTAAGGCAGAGGTGACAGGGCAGAGGTCCTGAGGTGAGAGAGTGCTCAGCGTTGGGGCAAAGTGGGTGGAACAGTAGAGGGGGAGAGGAAGAGAGGATGGAGAGGTTGCCTACGAGGGAGGTGATGGAAGCCAGTCATGTTCGGCTTTTTCAGGCCACGGACAGGTTTAATCCCAACCTCGCTCCTAGTAGTTCTGTGACCTCGGTGTATGTCCTCTCTTTCTGGGTTTGGCTTCACTGTAGGGAAAGGGTTGGACGAAGTAATTTCTTCTCAAGCCTCCAATATCTGCTTTAAAACAACAACAAAACACACCAGCACAAACAGCGGCATCAAGACTCTAAGCCCAGATGCCAGCGTGTGTGTGTGTGTGTGTGTGTGTGTGTGTGTGTGTGTGTGTGTGTGTGTGATCTGAGCTCCCACAGCCAGCTTCCAGCAGAAAGAGGCAAAGCCACACTGGAGACCGAGTGGGGGTAGCAACACCTTCAGGACCAGGTGGGGTGGGGTCATCTCCATAGGCTTCTGCCCCGGCTCACAGACCCGCTTTAGGCAAGGTCTGCAGCAAGCCCCCTCGAGCACCCCCATTCCCAGGGCAGGGACACATCCTTGTCATTTTCTGCTGTCCGAGAGCGCCTGGGGCCCCGAGGGCACAGGGTAGGGCCCTCGTGGGCCCCCGATTTTTTTGTTGACCATGCACATTGCACGCCCCAGGATCTGCACAGCTGCTGTCTTGCCTCATCGCACTAGCCAACCCTGACAGGCAGCCTTCACCCGGTTTGCTAATGTGCTCAGTTCCTCTTTGGGGCATATGCCTGCCCCTCTGAGTTCCCGTGGCTGCGTGGAAGTGGACCTAGGCCCAGAGGGTGACTAAGAGGGGAAGCCCCTGTACGGCGAGGCTCCCAGAGTCTCCTGGTTGCGTAAGGACTCTCTCTCTCTCTCTCTCTCTCTCTCTCTCTCTCTCTCTCTCTCTCTCTCTCTCTTTTCCTTTTTTTGAGGAGGTTGTAGGCAACAGGATGAATCATAGCAAACACACGTGGCTCTGGCGGGGGGGACAGTCCTTCCTCATGCCGCGGTGGAAAGCGAAGCTTCTTGAAATGAATCAGCGGCGCCTGCACCCTAGGTCGTGGGAGGAGGACCAGGGTGTGAGTTACAGATTTCCAGAGTAATTGGGTGTGGTCCCCAGGGTCTGACAGCCTGGACAGCAGCGACCCAGGTTACTCACCTGAGCTTCGCCTGGGGACCTGTTACACTTGGTGGGCACCAGCTACTTGTCCCTGCTGAGGGAGGGATGGGGCGCCCTTTCAGGTGAGGTGACATAGACTCTAAGTCTGTAAGTCCCAGAGGCTTCTCGTCTGGGTAGCCCAGGAAAAATATTCCTGGCATCTGTTTGGCAGAAAAGAGCTTCTTGCTTTCCCAAGCGCCAAGGCAGCGTGAAGTAGTGGCTGGGAACCACCAGGCTTTGGAATGAGCCTGAGGCTCAAATCCCCTATGGCATCTTGGAGTGAGTCTTTGGACAGGAAGCAAAGCTGTGCTTTCTCTTCTGTAAAATCAGGAAAGAGTATCTGGCAGCTGAGCACACTGTTCAGAACACAAGAGGAAGACAGGCATGGTGACAGACTTCTGCAATTCTAGCACTTAGTGTGAGGGGGTGGGGGTGAGGGAGGTGGGGGGCGCTATGAGTTTAAGACCAGTCTGGGGTGCATAGGTAGACTGTCACAGGAGTGAGGGAAGCCTCACAAGTCATCCACAGGAGGGCTTCACAGAAGTCCTCAGTGGACACTGAGAAGCCAGAGTTGACAGCCAGGCGTTTTGGCTTTGTTAGCTGTGTGTTTTCGGGTGTGTCATTTAGTCGATTGTGTGCCTGACTTTCTTCGTCTTTGAATGGGGGTAAAAGTACCTTCCTCACAGAGTTGATGGATGGGAGGATGATGGATCCCCCGAAAGTGGGATGCCTGGGACCTTCTGTATGCACAGCAAGTGCAACCTCCTGCTGTTTAACATGGGTTACCACAGCATCCACGTACCAGTCAGAGCTCAGGGGAGAGCAGATGATTATTATAATTTTTATTTTCAAAAGAGCTGAAGTGGATTTGGCCAGGAGCTGGGGCCTCAAAGGACCCAGGAAAGGCATTTATGTCTCTATGGATGTAGAATATTGACGCAGGCCCAAAGGATTTCTCTCTCTCTCTCTCTCTCTCTCTCTCTCTCTCTCTCTCTCTCTCTCTCTGTCTCTGTCTCTCTCTCTGTCTCTCTCTCTCTCTGTGAGTCAGGGTTTTCTGTTAGCTGGTCAGCTGGAGAAAGACAATAGGAGACAATCAGTCTTGGAGGAGAATGAGGTTCTGGGGTGTGTAATGGGTAGCTGTTCCAGCTTTGACCTTGAAACATTGCCCCTAGTGTGGCAGCAAGTAACTGCCACATCTGCCTATGACCTGCCCCTGGGGTGTGGCCAAGAGGAGACCCCCTAAGACCCAAGATGCATATGTGTTCACTCTCTTAGCTCTCCATGGTCCCAGAGGCTGGATTTGCAGACCAAGTCAGAGTTCCCCAGAGAACTACGCTGGACTGTACCTCATCTCTCCTGGATCCTGTAATCGACCCCTTATTGGTTGTAAGATACCCCTGAAATAAACCTCTTTTAATTGCCAGGTAAACTATGTGAATTTCTTCATTAATTGCTCTTAGGTCTGTTACCATCCTCCATTTACCAGATTTCTTTTTAATAACAAAAACAGGAGAATTCCAAGGGCTGGTAGATTCTTTAATGTGTTGAGCATTTAACTGCTCTTGAACCAGCTGTTCTAAAGCGTGCAGCTTCTCTTTTATCAAAGGCCATTGTCCAACCCAGACAGGCTTACCAGTTAGCTATTTTAAAGGTAGGGCTGTTGGTACTTCTGAGAGTTCAACTGCTATTGTGCTCTGTTTATGTACAGTTGAACGGTTGGTGGCTGTTTTTTTTATATTTTGTTATAATATTATTCCTAGAAACATGCAGAGGTCTGCATTCCCTTTATGGGAGTGTAGGAATTTTAATCTGGGTATTCCATTGCTGTAATAGATCTCGGCCCCAAAGATTCACTGCTACATTTTCCACACATAGCTCCAGACTTCCGCTCTGTCCTTCTAACCCTATGTATTTAACCCATCTTGAACTCTGTTTTATCTGAGATAGGGTTCCAATCCCTAAAAATTGGACATCTACTTCTTGAAGAGGCCAATTGGGATGCCATGATTTTGGTGTAATTATAGTCACATCCACACCTGTGTCTACCAGACCTTCCAGAACAATAGCATTAATTTGAATTTTAAGCTTTGGTCTTTGTTCATTTATGGAAGCCTGCCAAAATATTTGTTTTACTGTGTTTGTAACTTTTGATTCATCTATCAGAGCTGTTCTATCATCCAGTGTAGTATTGTTCTTTACATTAGGCGTTGGTTTATTTAATTGTCCTGAACAGGAATTTCCTCCACAGTGGCTGGAAATGCTTGAACCACATTCAATTTGGGGGCCTGCAAGATGCCTCCTGAGGCATTTTCTGCTGGTAAAGGGTTGCCTTGTATATTTATTATTGATCTGCACACATTAGTCCAATGTTGGCCTTTGCCACATCTTCTACATAATTCAGAAGGTTGGGATCTCCTGTTTGGGTTATTTTTAGAAGGAGTATTACTCCTAGGAGCACCCCATGCACAGTTTTTACTTATATGACCTGGTGTACCACATTTAAAGCATTTGAGCCTCTCTCCGTGCCTGTGAGCAGCTGCAGGGCAGCTCACTCAGTGTCTGCACCTCTTGCTCCAGCAATGAGCTGGGGGATGGGTGGGTCTTCCCTCACAAGCACTTACTAGGTAAACACAACAGCAGCGCTGTAGCTGTTGCTGTTGAGTTGGGAGGAGGAAAAGGGTAGTACCCATGCATTTGTGAAGCACTGGGTCCCCAGGAGGGGTAGGAATTTGCCTCACATGGGTGCCAGATATAGCAGCAATTAAGGAGGCAATTCCACTTAGTTTATCTGGTAATTAAAAGAGGTTTATTTTAGAGTGAACTTACAACCAATAAGGGGTCGATTACAGGATGTGGGAGAGATGAGGTACAGTCCAGCGTAGTTCTCTGGGGAACTCTGACTTGGTCTGCAAATCCAGCCTCCAGGACCAAAAGGAGCTAAGAGAGTGAACACATATGCATCTTAGGTCTTAGGGGGTCTCCTCTTGGCCACACCCCAGGGGCAGGTCATAAGCAGGTGTGGCCGTTACTTGCTGCC